CTATAGAAGATAATTCGGAGGAAGGTAAAAATACTGAGAATGATTTGGGACAATTACTGAAAAATAGAAAATTAAAGAGAAGAACTTTAACAATGAATGAAGACTTAGACAAATAAATAAATATAAACAAAAATTATGTAATAATAAATAATTTTAAAAGCAAATAAATATTTAAAATTGAATATTAATAGAATATACTATAATATGTAAATATATATATATATTATTATTACTAAAATAAATTGAAAATCTTCAGAGTTTAATATATTAAGTTTTGTTTCAGAGTCTTTTAATGATGATGGAGATCCTCTGGAGGTCTATGCCCAAAGATTTTCAAAGATCTTTACTAAAAAATTTCCTGATATACTATAATAACAATACTATTACCATGACCAATTATTTATTAAAAATATATATTATCAATACTATTATATACTTTGAACAGTAGTCTGGCTATTTTTGGAAATACAACTATTATACTTCAATTAAATAGAATTACTAGTATAACATATCTAGTAATTTTATCTAAAACATTTATAGCTTTACAATTAATTTTATTGTATTTATTTTTTTGTTTGGTATTTTATTTTTTTTTTGATTTTCTATTTTTTATTGTCTTACATAGGTATTTATAGCTGCTTGATACTATTTAGGATATACATCAGTTTTGATATTTATTTTTTATATCATTTAGATAATTTTTATAGGCAAGTTAGTATTAAACTTACTGATTAATTGGTTATATAAGAAATGTTATTACTTTTTATATATAAAATAATTTAAATTTTTTATAATAATAAAAAAATAATATTTATCTATTTAAAATATATACTGTATATATCAAAGATCTCCAGAAATTAGTATATAAATTTTTATTCTGGAGTTTTTAAATGATAACAAAAGTCCACATTAATATCAACTATTATAAATATACTCATCATTATAGCTGACTCATATATCCAAAGTGGATTTAACTTTACTAAGTGTATTTTCAAATTAATTACAGACATGTTCAATTTTTTTCTATTCAATACTAAGTAGGTAATCATAGCTGCTCAAAGCCACTTGATAAGATATATTGTTTTAAAATTTCTTTTCAATATTAATCTAGTAGTTATTGTAGACAAGCTAATATTTAATTTATTGTACTAATATACATGAGAGATATTGTTTTTTTTACAATATATATTTATTATTATATAAATAAATAAAGAAATAATATTTACTTACAAAAAAAAAAAATAATAACAGAAGTTCTTTGGAGGATTATATCCAAAAAATTTTAAAGACCTTTATTCAAAAAATTTTCTAATGTTTTTTTAATATTTTTTTTAATATATTTTATAAGTTTTCAATTAAATTTAAATATAAACTATCAGATAATTAATTAATAATTTTTTTTTTTTTTTTTAAAGGAACAGGCGATTCTCACACTTTTGTTTTTATTATAATATTTAGACTTGCGAATTACAAGATTTATAACATACTAGTGTAATATGCATCTCTCTTTATCAGGAAGAGTTTAATGCCGGGCTTCATATGGGCCCCTTCATCTAAGCTCCTTAGTACTACTCAAGAATATAAGAAAACGATTTAAAAACCTATATGTGCCCTGAGTGGCGATCTAGTTTCCTAGAAGAAAAATGAATACCTAATTATATGAAGGCGCTGCAGCCACTATATACAGGTTGGCCTCCAAGTCATGACTAGGATTGGCACACTTGCTTTCTAACTGTGGCTTGATATATGGCAAGTGGGGCAAGAGTTGGTTCCGAACTATACTAACTCCAAATGCACCAAATAAAGCAAATATTTCACCATTTGCACCTAGCATTGACCCTTCATTTAAACCTATTACTAGGACTAAAGGCTAGAGAGCGGCAATCGTCTTTAACACCAATGCGACCCTTAGGCGACATTAATCTTTCACCATTTGCACCTAGCATTGACCTCCCATTTGAACCCATCACTAGGACTAGAGGCTGGAAGGTGGCAATTAATCTCGCTGTCAGAGTGGCTTCGGAGGGTGTATTTGGCTTTAGAATACGACGGACCCGAAGAGTGTAAAGAGTGAGTTGGACATAAGGTAATGATTTGTTGAGGGAAGTGTTGGACATAAGGTGGAGTTGGGTTTTCTTAAAGGTGTTGATACCTAACCTTGTACAATGAGTCCTATATTGTTGGAGAGGTGAGCGAGGAACTTTCGTTGTCATCACCAGCTCATGTTGTGGAGGTAACTAGAATCCCTGGTCTTCACGTATTATCCTACTAGGTTCTCCAATCACCAGCATGATACCTGCAAACTAACCTGGCTTATTGTTAGCTACATTGGCATTGGCTGCCATATCTTTCTGGATACTGAGGGGCGCAACTCCTTGGATACTTTTAGATAATAATAGTTGTACACCGGCTTCTTAGATGTATCTAGTCTCACTATCAATGGGTAAACAACACCAGATTTGGTAATGATGGCCATATCGATCTTTTGGAGAGGGTAAACCATCCATTCTTTTTCCATAAGGCCATGAAAGAGAGAAAAATTCTAAAGCCTACATCTTAAGAAAAGTTACCACTTCTGAATATGGTCTTGAGAAAAGGAAGTCAACTGGCCAGGGGGTTGATGTTATGGATAGCGGGTTTATAAAAGAAAGGGAGACCTAGAGAGAAAACCTTCAGGAAGAAGGGAAAACCTCACTTCGGCAGGGAAGGGAAAAAGAGAGGGAAGGGGTAGAGTGTATAAAAAAAAGTATTTAGAAAGGAGGGATGAGTATAGGGAAGAGGGAATAAAAAGTATGGAGAAGGGGAAGTGAAGAAGAGGGAAAGGGAAAAGCAAAAAAGAGTAAACAACTCAAAGATTTCCTAAAAAGGAAATTTTCAAGCGCAGAAAGGGGAGTGGGAAAGAGTTTATTAATTGACTTTTAATTGATAATTTTTGAAATATTTTTTTTAAAATAAAATTTAGCAAAATAACTTATATATTTTAGATTATTGTTTTGCTAAAACTGTTACTTTATTTTTATTATATCTTTAATATCTTTAATATTTTACTTTAGTATATCAATATAAAATTTAGTTATTATTTTTTTTCTAAAAAAAATAAGTTGATCTTATCTTTTTTAAAAAAATTTTTTATGCAAGAAATTTTTTTCTATCTTTAAAAATTTAATAAATTGAATATAAACCATTGTACTATTATTTAAAGATATTATAAAACAGTTAAAAAGCTATATTGTTTATAAAAAAGTTTGATTCCAATTATTGTACAAATATTTTTTAATTTATTTGATTTAACTTTTTTTATAAAAAAATAAATATTAATATAATTTTAAAAATATCATATTTTTTTTAAGGAACAGGCAATTTCTACATATTATTTTTATTATAAATTTTAGACCTGCAAATACAAGATTTACAAACTATAATATAGTATACATTTCTCTTTACTAGAAAGAGTTTAATGCAAGATTCACAATTGCAATCCATTTATCTTAGCTTTTTAGTACTACTCAAAAATATAGAAAAAGAAAATTCAAAATCTATATTATACCTTGAATAATATATAGCTACTTAGAAAATTTAATTATCTAATTATATAAAGACATTACAACTATTATATACAGGTTGGTCTTCAAGTTATAACTAGAATTGATATATTTGTTTTTCAAATATGACTTGATATACAACAAGTAGGACAGGGGTTAGTTTCAAGCTATATTAAATTCAAATTATATTAAAATTAAGCTGGTCTTTCACTATTTGTATCTAGTATTAACTCTTTATTTGAACTTATTACTAGAATTAAAAACTGAAAGGCAGCAACTATTTTTATCATCAAAGTAATTCTTTGACAACATTAATCTTTTATTATTTTTATTTAGTATAAATTTCTTATTTTAAAACTTATTATTAGGATTGTAGGTTGAAAAGCAACAATTAATATTACTGTTAGAGTAACTTTAAAAAATATGTTTTGATTTTAGAATAAGCTGAAGCTGAAAAATGTAAAAGAAGTTTGAATGTAAAGTAATAGTTTATTAAAAAGAATGTTGAACATATAGTGGAGTTAAAATTTCTTAAAAGTGCTAATATCTAATCTTATATAATAAGCTTATATTGTTAAAGAGATAAGTAAAGAACTTTTGTTGTTATCATTAGCTTATGTTGCAAAAGTAATTAAAATCTCTAATTTTCATATATTATTCTATTAAATTCTTCAATTACTAGTATAACATATGCAAACTAACCTAGCTTATTGTTAACTGTATTGGCATTGGTTGCCATATTACTTTGAATATAGTAAGGTGCAACTTCTTGGATACTTTTAGATAATAATAGTTATATACTGGTTTTTTAAATGTATTTAATCTAACTATTAACAAGTAAATAATACTGGATTTGATAATAATAATTATGTTGATTTTTGGAGAGTTAGCTATCTGTTCTTTTTCTATAAGATCATAAAAGAGAAAACATTGCTGAAACTGTCCAATTTTTATAAACATCACTACTTAATTGCCACCTAATTGTTATTTAATAGTCAAATAATAGTAACAGAGCAGTTACAATAGTGTTAACTACTACACTACTGCATTTTATTGCTACTAAATTGCTACTAAATTGAAATTTCAACTTTAATTAAAACTTTTCAAAACATGGTTTTAATATATATCAATCTATATAATAAATATATGTAATTTAAACTAAATAAACTTATTATAATTATATTGAATTTATTAAATATTGTTTATATTTTAAATTTTTTAATTTGTTTTTTGTAAGAAGGTTTAATGTTTCAGTTATTTTATTTATTGTATAATATTTGATTTTCTAATATAAAAAAATATAGAATCTTATATATAACTAATTAAAAGTTAAAATACTAATTATAAAGTGTTTTATTATAATTTCGTAGTATTTTATAAGGTAAATCATTTTTTATCTGGCATTGTATAAAAAAAAATTTTTTTTGTTTATCTTTCACTAAACCTTGCCCAAAAATCATGAGTGACGAACACGTTCCTAAGGATAGCTGGGAGGAGGAGGATTATGAGTCTACGCTTGCACAGAAAACCTCGAAACTTAAAGTAGTCCAATCAGAATTTAAGTTTAATGCCTCCGCAAAAGAGTTTGTGCCGAGTTGGATGCAAAATGGTTTGTTAAAATGTTATTGGTATCATGTTTTATCTAATTTTTAAGAGAAAAAAAATTTTCTTTTGTACTTTTAGCTAGCGCTCCGGCTTATACACCTGCGCCCATTAATGTCCCTGAGCCGGAACCGGAAGTGGCAGAGCCTCTCCCTCCTGATCCCGAGTCTTCAGAACAAATTCCCCAAAATGTTATCGAAGTTGAAAATGATAAAGCCCCTGCTGCTGCGGATAGTTTAAAGCAACAAGATGCCATCCGATCTGCATCTCCGAAACCTGATGAAGTAAACAAGAAAGAAATTGTTGCAGCGGGTGAGCCAGAAGAGGAGGTTGATACTCAAATTATACAAGACTTGTATGGCAAAGAGCATCTTAATCTAGTATTCATAGGCCACGTAGGTTTGTAAAAACAATTATGACATTCACGATCTTCTTCAAGCGAGATCTGGAGAACATGGATTTTCTAATAATAAAGCGCATATCCCTAACGATTCGTTCGCTTATATTTAGATGCCGGAAAGTCTACCATGGGTGGAAACATTTTGTAAGCCTAAATAAATAGAAACTCATTATTGGGGTTTTATCTATCTTGTTCTAATGGATGGATTCATGATTTGGTGTTAATCAAAGATACTTGACAGGAATGGTTGATCAAAGAACAATGGAAAAATACGAAAAGGAAGCCAAAGAACAAAATCGAGAATCTTGGTACTTGTCATGGGCATTGGATACCAACAAAGAAGAACGGGCAAAGGTAATTGAACAGTATGATTTTTTAATAAAAGTTTGTCTCCCGATTGATCGTTCACATTCTTTATTTTTTTTAGGGGAAAACAGTTGAATGTGGTCGGGCATACTTTGAAACCGAAAAACGACGATATACAATTCTAGATGCACCAGGTCATAAGAATTACGTGCCAAGTATGATTGGGGGCGCGGCGCAGGCCGATGTGGGCATCTTGGTATGTGTTAACCTTCTGGCTGGCTGATTTCCTTATATATTTTTCACAATTATAGCGATTTATAGGTCATATCTGCACGAAAAGGAGAATTTGAAACTGGTTTTGAAAGGGGGGGACAGACGCGTGAGCACGCTGTGTTGGCTAAAACTTCTGGCGTTAATAAATTGATAGTTGTTATTAATAAAATGGATGATGCCACAGTGGGTTGGTCTAAGGATAGGTAAGGTTAATAAAATCATTATGTCTCCATTGTTAACGTTTTCTAGATTTTTTTTCAAATATGTTATTTAATGTAGATATGACGAATGTGTTACTAAACTTACACCATTTCTCAAGGCAAATGGGTATAACCCTGCAACGGGTACTTTGTTTAGCAATTTTTATTCGGATTGAAATTAATGTATTATTTATGTTGGAGGCACTTAATTGTCAATTTTTTTGTTTAATAGACATTGACTTTATGCCAGTCTCAGGCTTCACGGGAGCAAATCTTAAAGAACGTGTGTCTGGAGACGTCTGCAGTTGGTACAAGTGAGTATTATATATTAAAATATATCTAATACTTTGCGTTATTCGAGTAAAATTCTGAAGCTTGAGTATTTTTTTCTACAGAGGACCATCTTTGATTGAAAGTTTGGACAATATGCAAGCTTTAGATAGAAAGACGAAAGCGCCACTAATGATTCCTATTACAGAAAAATATAAAGTAAGATCGAAGTTTTTATTATCAAAAAGGTTCATAACCAATTCATAACCGTTATGTCGTTTTTTCAGGACATGGGTACGGTGGTTGTTGGAAAAATAGAATCAGGCGCAATTCGAAAAGGACAAACTGTGCTGGTTATGCCAAATAAGGTTTGTATCTACCTCTATTTCAAGATTAGACAAAGTCATTCTATTTTTATTAAAAAAAAAAACTTTGTACTATTAGCGAACGGTTGAAGTTTCAGCAGTTTATAGTGAGCTTGAAGAAGAAGTTCCTGGAGGCATCTGTGGCGATAATGTTCGATTGCGTCTGCGAGGAATAGAAGAGGAAGATGTTTCAACTGGATTTGTTGTATGTTCAACAAAACGTCCAGTGAATACCGCAACTGTGTTTGAAGCACAACTTGCTATCTTAGAACATAAGAACATTATTTGTGCCGGATATAGTGCTGTTCTTCACATTCATTCCTGCGTTGAGGAAGTTTCTATTTCTGTAAGATAATTTTTTTCCCCTGCTTGGTTATCTCATGTCCCTTTACGTTAACTTCATATATATATTATACACAGGCACTCTTGCATTTAATTGATAAAAAGACCGGAAAGAAATCTAAACGACCTCCGCAATTCGTCAAAAAATCACAAAAAGTAATTGCTAGACTTGAAACCGCAGGTCCGATTTGTGTTGAAGCTTTTGATGAATATCCACAGTTGGGAAGGTTTACGCTGCGAGACGAAGGTAAGTTTGTGAATATAGTCACAGCTTCGTATACGATAGAAGGTCTAATCGAAATGTTATTTAGGAAAAACGATCGCAATTGGAAAAGTTACCAAAGTTATTGCTCAAAGTGAATAAGACAGATTTGAATGATAATTTTAATGATGGATGGAAAAATAAGAAAAATTAAGTTTATTTATTCAATTAATATTTGAGATGACTGAAAAAGATCTCAATCGCCTTACTAATATGTAATACCCACTGACTATGTTAGTTTCCATTGATGAGAGAAAAAATTTACCACATTATTGTGCGAAAAAAAATGCCAATGGATATAATAAAATCCGGTATTAATGATGAGAATCTTATCGTCTTAAAATTCTTGGTTCATTCATCATTTACATTGCGGTTCGATTAGGGTTTTTTAATAAGCGATCGAGTTTTTCTCTCCAATATACAAAGTCTTAGAAAAATTGGATTCTGTCATTGGTTAAAATAAGGTTATTCAGACAGATCATCAAAGTTAAGAAATGACGATATTTTCAAAAAGTCCGATTAATCTTTTTTCCTGGAGTAAAAGGAATCTGAAATCCACTCAAAAGGGCTCTTCCTTCATAATCAGTATAAGCGGTAGTATGGAATACGACGTGAAACCCAGTCATCATAGGGAACATGTCATAGTTACTCTCGATGTCAGGAAACAAAGAAAGTGCACTTGGTGGGAATCCCATCGTGATGTTGCCGTTCTGGTCTCCAGATGAGATCGACACACCTTGCCATTCTCTCAGACGTGGTAAAACAATTTCCGTTAATTTGTCCAGGAATGTATACATTGGCGGACCCTGGATGTGTACTTTACAACCTATGGGCATACCTGGTGACAGAAGAAGTGACCACAAATATTCATAAATGAGTTATTATGATGATATTCCGAAAGAAAATTACCCTTTCTCAGTTTCCACCTTGAAACATCAGTCCTAGAATACACAATTGTGGGTCGCTCTGAGGTGATACATTGCAACGCCATAATCCCACTCAAAAGATGTTGTTTGCTTAGTAACGATTGTTTCATCATACAATGCACAACGATCTTCACTAACTCGGGGGCAGTCCTATGTGATTGTCTCGGTGGCACAGGCCCTACGTTTTTATTCCCCCTGGGTTTAGGTCTGGGACGATTCTTTGCATAAGGATTTGTATCCATAGTTAGCACCGATTTTCTCAGTGGAAGATATTTTTTTTTTCGCTTATCGATGAATTTTTGTTCAGCCTCTGGATCTCTGTAGGTAAGGATCATTAAGTCATCGGCTAGGGTGGAGTGGTGGTACTCTTCCATGCGAAGCATTGACGAACGACCGGGATAGAAATCCAGGCTGTTTGGTAGATTCGCTGGTTTTTGTGGAATGTGACTATGATGAGGCTCATAGTGTGCGACGGAAAAGGTATGAAAGTGTTTGTAAAGATGGAATTGTTTTCTAGAAAAAATGTGAAGTTTACGTGAAAAGTTGAATATCGACGACATTACAAAAATACTAGCGTGACGGAAGATTATCAGGATCGAAATTTATTTGTCATGTGATTATAAAAAAATTTTAACTTGTAAATATTTGGTTTATCTAAATTACAGTATATTAGACTAATATCAAATCATACAATAAAGAAAAATAAATGTATTTTTTAAGAAATTATTTATTAAATTTTTATAATCAAGAATATATTGTATTTTTTTTTTCCCATAGTCAAACAAGTGCGTACTGTTTATTGAATCTTTACAGAAAACAAATAATGTATAATACATCGTATTGCATAAACTATTCT